GCTCTGGGTTAGACTGAGCTGTGCTTACTGAAGGGACATATGTGGAGGAACTACTAGTGCAAACAGGAGTCTGAGTCCGAATGACAGTGGTCACAGAGGTGGAGGGAGGGCCTTTTGGGTCTGGTACAGAAGAGTTTGGCTTATTTGAGGATGGCTGTGTGGACTGACTACTGTGCTGAGGTTGAGGTGTATGCACAGGATCTAGGGCAGTGTTGTGGACCACCTTACTGAAGCCTGCCTGATCCTGCTTGATTTTGAGCTTCAAGCCGATCCTCCTGCGAGCCTCGTAGGTCTTTATGGGTGGTTTGCTAGTCCGCTGCAGTAAAGTGTCATCGTCATCAGATGCTTTAGAGTTGAATGGAGAAGGAGAAGAAAAATGTGAGGATGAAGCAGCAGAGGCACGACTAAGGGAAGAGCTTGGAGTCACCATGGGCTCTGACGTGGATTTTGTAGAGTCAATGGGAGGTGTGGGGCAACTACTGGACCAGGACACTGAGGCTCCACCTCCTCCCTGTTTTATGACCAGTTTGGTTGGAGGAAAAGGAGAGGCAGAGGGCACAGAAACAGGAGGGGGCGCTGCAGCACGAGTAGTGGGGATAGGAGCTGGGGCTGGTACTGAAATAGGAGGGATAGGGGGTGGTGCCGAAACAGCAGGAGGAGGAACAGGGGGAGGGACAGGCAGAGGGGCAGAAGCCGAGGGAGTAGGAGGTGTTGGGGTCACATTTGGTGAAGGAGCAGAGGCAGGAACTGAAGCAAGAGAAGCAGCAGCCTCTTGACTTCCTGACGTGGCTTCAGAGGAAGGAGAAGACTTCTTTGAGGAAATAGCTGCACTCTCCCATTTGCGCACATTGGCCAAGAACTCCTCTGCAAGAAAACAAATTAACAAATATTGTATAAAATCTTTCAGAAACTTTGATATAGCACTAACAAGCATGTCATTTTGAAAATACCTGGTCTCTCTTTTGCCAAAATTCTATCTTGACTTATTGCAACCTTCTCCTCTTGTATGAACATGCGGTCAATCATCACCATCTCAGCAGAGGGGCCCAGTCTTTGCTTGAATACAAAAAGAAATACAATTCAAAATCTCCTCAAGCATAAAAAAGTAAGCTTGGGAAGGTACCTTGGATTCTGAGAAAAGCAAATGCCTGTATTTATCCACCATAGCCTGTGTCCGCTTCTGAAGCATGGACGATACCCTTTCAAATTCTTCATCCACTGAACCCACAGAAAATGAAATTAATCATTCAATATATGCTACACATTTAAGTTATAAATACAGTATAAAGTTTGAATTTGACTAAACAACAAGATGCAACCTTTTTCATAATCCTCAGAGGAGTGTACATTTCCTTGGTAGAGATGATAAGGCAGTAGTCTATGCAGTGTGTCCTCAAATGTGTTAAAAGGAGCACTGTAGTTTGGGTGAAGCACTGAACCCTGTTGTTTTCTTAGTTGTTCTAGCAACCTATAGTAAAATAAATTAATTCAGTTATACAAGAAATATAAATATGCTGTTACAGTAAATGATCATGACACTTACCTTGCTTCCTTGCTAGGCTCTGCAGTAAAAGGCATCTTCATTGTTGTCTGCAAATATTTTGTAAATAGTGAATTGAGTGACAGGTTCATAATGACAATTGTATTAAGAGGCATGGTATGTTTTCTTACATGGGTTTGTACAGCAGCAGGGGGTTGTGGAGCAGGCATTTGAGTGAGACTAGTTCCTAAAACTTGTATTTGTACCCCTCCTTTACCCAGGGTCAGTCCTCCCACCGAGCTAATCACCCCTGGCTTTGGCTGAACCTGTGGACAACAACATTTACTTCAGTAGCTTTTACAGAATTAATTTACTGGTGCAGGAGAAACCAAATGCCTACCTGTGCAGGCTGGTTAAGGCAAGTAGGAGTTTGATTCATAATTGCTGCAGCTGGTCCTTGGGCTCCTGAGAATACCTGTAAGTCACTTGCTCCTAAAACAAATAAATAATTAACACAGTAATGAAACATGGGAGTGTGTCTTAACATATTTAATGACAGGCTCCTAACCAGTTGCAGGTGTTTTCACAACTACTGATGTTGGCTGCAGCACTGAGGGTATCTGACCGGGCAGACCAGCATTCGATGATGATATCACTTTGTCTAGAGGCACGTCTTGTTGGGAGCCAAAATGAGTCGTGGCTTGAGGCTGAATTTGAGGCAGAGAGGACTGCTTTGACTGTAACACAATGTTATGATGAACCTACAGAACAAAAGCAGGTTTGTTATTAACAATAGGCACTTTGATGTTCAGGATTTTGAAGTTAAGATTGGTAATTGAATACCTGGTGTAGCTTTTCCAGTAGTTGTTTTTGCTGAGATGAAGGCTGGGCAATAGCTGACAGTGTCTGGATCTGCGCTGTTACTAATTGCAGGTGGTGCTGCTGTTCTGTGGAAAGGCCCAAAACAGGGACCTGGGCTTTCACTACTGCACTAGCCGCTGTGTTTATGGGGGATGCGCTGAACTGATGCTGTGCGGACGGAGGTTTTGGGGACTGTGACAAAGGCATTTCTTGTTGATGGGGGCCAGAGAGAGCGGTGGATTGAAGTTGAACTTGAATTGCAGTCTGTGGCTGTGATGTTGGCTGAGGAGACTCTGCACTTTGGTTGTGAATTATAAATAGTGGAGGGTGAGAGGGCGTGCAGGAGCGAGAGGGAGTCTGATTCTGGGGCTGAGGTTGTGAAGGCGGTCTGGATTGTTGTTGGTGTGGGGACTGTATGTGTTGACTTAAAGTGAGTGGAGACTGAGAGGGCTGGGGGCTCTCAGAAACACGCTGTGCTGTGGGATGAGTGGGCAAGGCCGGTGACATGTTCTGGATCTTCAGGGGCTGCTGATGTCCAGAGGAAGGAACCTATGGAAATATAACCATAAGAAATATAGTCAATAAAAGTCAGTTTCAATGAGCATACATCAATGTCATTGAGAAAAAGTGAAAGCGTACAAATTTGCACAAAAAAACAACTGAGCAAGCCCACAGCGATTCTGATTTTACACGAGAAAGTAAGAGAAGAACAATAATGCTAATTAGGGCTGAACAATTTTGAGAAAACTAATTCCAGTCAAATATTTTAATTTCACGTGCTTAAAAGAGAATCAATATTCATTTCTACAGTTTGAAACATTCAGAAAAATAAATAGTTGGAAGAACATTTCAAAACAAGAATTAGACATTTTAGGATGTTTTGTAGAGCTTGTACAGATCTTTGTGTTTTGTACATAAAACAAAGACGAGATATTTAGTAAATTCTATATTACTGCAGCATTTGCAAATCGCCAATTGTAACTGTAACAGCTATTCATTTTAAATTAACTGTTCAACCGTAATGCTGATGTAAAACTAAAATTATTGTACAAATTTTACAAATTGGGAAAAACAAAAAACAATACAGCAAAAACTAAATCAATTTTGATGTCACAGTGCAAGTTGATTTCCCAACTGACATTTTTCCTAGAAAGAAACTATTGCTAGAGATGTGTTGCCTGGCCAGCCAACACTACAGTCTTTCATTATTCTTTATTAAGGTTATAGTCTGGAACCTTATCTAATGATGTGCAAGTGCATGTCTGTTAGTTTTGGAAATTTCTCTGTGGATGGAGAAATTGCTAACAATAATTCCTGTAAGATTAATCTTAATCTAAAATATATAAACATAAAATTAGATTTTTGATTTTCACTAATCAAACATCCCTGACGTTACAGTTGGCTCTGTTTCCATAATTCCCATTTCTCGGACTTGAGAGAAAAACTTGGTGCATAAAAGTCCATATTATTTATCCAACAACTGAAAAAAAAAAATTGACAAGAGATTTACAAATTAAAGAAACAAGGTTGTTTCAAAACATTTTAGTAAAAATAAAATCACTCTTCTGCCAGGTGAGCAGGAGTGAATGACACATGGTGAATGACAGATGGAAAAGGTCTTCCACATTTGAGCTACAAATACATGAATGTCACTGGTCTGCTGCAAAAGTTTGACAAAAATGCTGTGCTGTAAGGAGGGTTCCAGATGTTCATGCTTTAGAAAAGAAAGTAAGAGTGGCTGGCTTGGCAGGCTTTGAGATTTTAAATTCTGGGATGAGAAAAAAGGGTTGTATATTTGAGGAGAAGGCAATCAAAGAAATATTTGTTTTTCTTCATTCATTTTAAGGAAAAAGAACACATGGACAACAGTTAAGGGGGATATGAGCTGATTTACAAAGTGACAGATCAGGCAAAGAATGTTACTTGTTAATTGCAATTAATCACCTTACACCAACTGTTGATAGATTTACTTCATTGTTTTAAAATGGCTTTCAAATTAAGTGATGTGCAGTAAAACTGTATTGTCTTAGGACAAATAGCACATGATTTCAAAAACCAATATAGATTCAGCTAGGCAGCTACATAATAAATGTATATTGTCAGCATACTCTTTAAAAAATTATCAAAGCAGTGCATGATTAAGAGAAGCATAAAAGGAGGGTTGGAAAAGAGAAATACAAAGCGGTGATGGGGGGGAAAGGGTAAGACACCCTAACAGCAGCAGCGACAGGTGGGTGGGGCTTAGTATAAAGGGCTTTTCTACCTGCTTTACCACTGTTGTCAAGTGGGAGGGGCTCTGAGTGACCCAAGACTCTGTTAACTGGCTGTCATGGACAGTAAGGGCTGGAGCAGTGATGTGGTTGCTGCTGACGATTACAGATGCTGGCACTCCCACAGAGGGGGTAGACTCTTTCTCTTTTTGATGCTGCAGCTCCTGATAGGAGTACATTTACCATTCAGGGGTGTCAAAAAGGAGGCGGGATTGAGGCATTGTGGAATAAAATAATCACCAAAAAGATCTGGTCCAATATCACTCCAAGCAAGGTTAATGTTAATTTTTAAACAAGGAAATGCATATAAACTTTAAGAAGATGAGAAACATACCTGTTGAAGGAACATTTGTAGAGACTCCTGGCTTAATATCATGCTGGATCCCTGGTTGGTAAACACAAGCCTTCCTGGATTTTGCTGAGTTTGAGGGGGTACCAGCCCCATCGTTGTCATGGTGGAAGAGGTGGAGACTGAGATGGATGGAGACGATGAAGGTATGGGAGTAGCTGAAGAGGCGCTGGGAGTCGGCTGCATGGCTACAACGGAAGGCTGGGGTACATGGATCTGTGTGGGATGAGAGGTCTGCTCTGTGGAGCTTCCTAAAACCGTGACACATTCTGGCTGCCCCTGGGCAGTTGTCCCTGCAGCAATACTACCACTGTTGCCACTGCTTGGGACTCCACCCGTTTGTGGCTGTACGTTTGTCTGAAGGCTAACTGCCGGGCTAAGCCCCTCCACCTGACCCAACATCAGGGGGTTTTGGATGGGCATGCCTTGTATAACTGTCTGTGCGTGGCCTGTGACTGTGTGTGTCTGAGCCTGATTATGAGTTTGAGCCAAAGAGACAGGCATCTGAAAGAGGGTGGGTGTGCCCATCTGACCAGGTTGGAGTTGGATGGGACCAGAAAGGATGTGTGCTGCTCCAGGAGGTCCCTGGGAGGTCAAGACTTGCCCAAGGTTGATGTTCTGATTTGTTGTTAAAATCTGATTTGCAATTAGCTGTCCACCTGGACCCTGGCTGGTTATGATGTGGCCACCTGGATGCTGCGTGAGGATTTGTCCTCCAGCCTGCAGTTGGACAAACTGAGGATTCTGACCTTGGAGAACTGTTTGTGAGGGAATTACAATGCTTCCAGATTGGTTTAATAAATGTACACTTAGAGGTTTGCCAGATGCTTGTGCTGCTTGTTGCTTGAATAATGTTTGTGAAAATTGTGAGGCTTGAGATGTGGCTTGCGTGCTCAAGACCACATTAGAGCCAGGCTTTCCCGCCAGGAAAGCTACATTTTGAGCTGCAGAGACTGGAATCTGTTGTAGCCCTAGACCCTTGTGAGCATCATTTTGATGGGGCTGAGGCGTGGCCTGTGGCTGTTGCTGTTTGTAAAGTTTTGGTTGGATGGCACCACCCTGAGGTGGTTTAGGCTGAATGGGTGTTGGTGTACGTTGGATGATAACGTTCTGCATGATTTGACCTTGAGTTTGTGGCTGGGGTGTAATTCCTGAAGCTAGAGGGGAGTTTCCAAAGCCAACAATCCCAGCAGGGGCAGTTACTGTACTGCCGCTGCTGCTACTGTTGGTGCTGCTGACACAAACTGTAGGTCCATTTAAAGCTGGGGTTCCTAAAGTGGCTTTGTTACCTTGGATCAGAAGTCCACTTCCTGAGCTTCCAAGGCCAGCTTGAGAGCCAGCTCCTGAAATTTCAGGTCCAGACTGGTGAAGCTGATAACCACCCATGGCTTTTGCTAGAATTGGCTGTCCAGACTGATTGATAGTCATAACCGTGGGTTGACCTACAACTTGAATTTGTCCTATTCCTAGTCCAGACTGACTGCCATTGGGAAGTGTATGGAGACTCGAAATGGGCTGAAGGGTCACATTTCCAAGGCCTACAGGCTGCATGAAAGGCTGAACACTTATGGCCTTGTTCATGACCTGGGACTGAAGCTGAAGGCCCTGTTGGGCAAGCACTGAGCCCAGCATATCAGCTGCTGCATTGGGGGGAGTTGCAGTAGAACTTGGACCTCCAGTGAAAATAGTTCCTGCCCCTCCAACGCCAATGCCTACACCAACAGTGCCCCCTGCACCAGTGAGGCTGGCATCAGGCAGTGTCTGAACCACTTGCGTGAGTCCTGGTATACCAAAGGACCCCAGGTCCAGCTCTGCCTCTGCCTCTTGTAGGCTTTGCTCTGTGATATTTGCTTCAGCCAAGCTCTGCTGGAGGATGTCACAGGGTTCATGATTTGTCCCAATACCATTGCTTCCACTTTCACCGCCTGGAGATCCTCCCAGAATGTCATCATCCTCCAAGAAGTCCAAGTCAACGCTGACTCTGGGTAGGCCGGGCGGCTCATTTGCCGAGAGCTGCACTGTGGGCTGAACTTCCGATACATGGCCCTAAAAAAAAAAATCAAAAACAATCAGCAACACCAAACATATAAAAACTCCATCTAACACAATTTTACAGAGTGGCACTGCTTGTAGTGTTAGTGAAAAGAAAGCTCATCAGGAGGAGCATGCTGGATGAAAACAGTTGAGGTGAAGGAGGAGACGGGGGATTTTACTCACCCCTGCAGCAGAGAAGAACGAGCTGGAGGGATCACTCGAACCATCCAAAAGGTCGTCAGTGTCCAACTACAGAGACCCACCAAGAGCAAGATAGACAGAAAACCCAAGGCACCCAAAGCAGCAGACAAAAGCCAGCAGGACAGAAAGATGAATAATCAGAAGAAGGGCAAGTACACTGAACCATGTTAGAACCAACAAATGAAAGGGAATACAGAGGAAAATGTATAATTAGGTTTTAAATAAGTGGATTTAATAAGGGTATTTTGCAGTTTTTTGTTTTTTTTTTATTCTGAGGACTATAAATTGTATTTCAAAGAAGATAATAGTGATATGAAGAAATTGAATAGCAGGGATTGCAAGAGTGTTGGGAAGCAGCACAAAGCATCTATGACTAGGCCTAAACACTGAAGTAAACAAGCCCAAAGTGAACTGTGACTGAAGAAAGAGTAACAACTGAGACCACTTCAAATACTCACATGGGTTTCAGAGCCATGAAGAAAGTCATTTAGAGCTTCTGGGTCACTATATTATAACAGAAAGGAATAAATATCAGTAACGTAATCAATGCCATTACAGGCTATTAAAATAATACAAACTAAATTTGTAATATTGGCCAACTTACCAAATTACATCGAGAAGGCACCTGCCGTCTTCATCATCCATGACAACTGTAAAAAAAAAAAAAAAAAAAAAAAAAACTTAAAAAAAAAAAGATTTAGTCTACATTTTATTGTGTAATATAGGTATCTAATGATCTAATGCCTGCAAATAAATAAAAAAACATGTTCAGTACCAATAGGGATTAAAATATATTGTAGTTAAAGTCTAATCGTGCATCATGTGCGAAATGTATTAAAATTAAAATTACAGAGGCAGGTAGCAATACAATTTATTTGTCGAAGTTGTTGCCACAACAGCAAAGAGACTGTAAAATAGGGTTTATCAGAAACATAGGCTATGGTACGTAAATGTCGCAGTTGAATAACCTACGAAAGTCTGTCTTTTAAATATAGTTATTTAAAACAAATACGGTGCAGCGATTGATGGCAAACAACAAACGGAAAACGCGCGGGTTTTACCAGGTAAGAATCGGTATAGGGGTTTAGTTTTTGCAACAGTGTAAACATCACGTTTGCAACGCGGCACATTATACAAAGCCTAACTTTAATCTATGTTTTACGACTTGCATACCTCTCTTGAACCTCAAAAAGGCAATGGATCGTAGCCATTACTCGGTAAGAGCACAGTAGGTGCGCAGGATATGAATGGAGAGCGGCTACATGCTAGTCCGTGTTTTTTTTCCCCTTTTCAACAATGATTTGCATGCAGAGTTTGAATGTTTGTCAGTCTTGGCCTTTGTGGCAGCACAATATACCTTTGTGAATACAGATCTAAAACGTATTTTTACTCTCAATTTGGGCAGTCGTCTATATTTTAAAGTAATAAAAAACTGACAATCTCTCGCTAGCCAGGCTAACTAGCCTTCTTAGCAAAGCAGCAATCAACAATATTGAGAGGTCCAGCTAGCCACAGCCTTTGACATTCAAAACAAACCACCGATTGATGAGATTTTGATCCTTAAGGTCTAAATCGACTGTCCCACTTTACAAACACACGCTAATAGCGTTTGCATATACATACAAACATAATTACGCAGCGAGCAATGGCTCCCCTTGCAAGCAAAATATTAGTTAATGTTGGAATACTCTTGGATGAGGGGGGTATGCTTGGGAATTCGGTGTAAAATGACCGGGTTAGAGAGCCGTGCAGCACCGTAACTTTGGATAATAGTAGCTGTGCAATTTGCCTCTTTTCCGCACCTTTTACATACTGCAGCTTAGAAGGTGTTTTTCAGATTAATTGAGAAATAGGTACATTATAACAAACTCACCCGAGACGATAGAGGTGCAGGCAGCGCGGGGTCTCCAGGACAGCCTCGCACGGGCTGCAGTTCAGGACCCAATTACAGCAGGAAACAGGCGTCCTGCGCTTTGCCAGACTCAATGCGACCATCATCCTCAATCTGGATCTGCTCTGGCCGCACTGTTAAGGTTCCACACTGTCAGGTACACTCATGGATCTACGGCGACGAATATGTCTCGAAGGAGTTGTGAACAAATTACTAACGAAACACACAAACCTCAGAATGATAATAATTTAAGGAGAACTGTAAAACACGTCGTCATTTCAGAGACAGCCACTCTGTTGTGTTGACGGAAAAGAAGCTGCATTTATAATCCAAATTTATTTAACACTGGTTGAAGTAGGGAATAATTCTCTCTCTTAGACTTTATTTTTAGATTTCAATAGATTATTAAGTATCAAGTTAAGGATTAACATCTTTAACATCTTTTACATGAAGTTTAGAGTGTCGTATGAGGGAAGGTATAATAAAAAGTAGAGGAACTTGGCCATAGTTACCCATAGGAACCCATAGTAACCATTCCAACGTCCAGTTCTAGTAGCCATGCTGGGACTGTAAAATTCTACTCAATGTGTTATGTCCAAGGACACAACAAAGTGTTCTTCTGTGAGAGCAGGAATAACGCTGCAAACCTGTAGGTCAGTGAGTCAGTGCCTCTGACTGGTTTACTATTACGTTTATGTCAGAGTGAGTTTTGAACCACCAAGCTTTGGATCAGAAGTCAATCAACTGAGCTAGTGTATTCAAGAAGTCATGAAGATATGGAGCTGAACATATTATTTAGTTATTACTACTTTATGCCACTTATAACACAAAAAATAAACAACTGAGTTGCAACAAAAATAACACAGAAATACTATAGTTATTTTAAATAAACGAGGAGTCAATTTAAACTCTCAAAAGCTTGAATATTATTGTACTTCAATAAATTCACTCACATTCGCTAGGCCTATTAGTGCAAACGAAATGTACACGGAATAATAATAATAATTATTATTATTTTAATTAGAATTTGATTGCTCTTACAATCACAAGATGGCAGTCCCAATTGCCACAGCAAAAGAATCCAAGCACTCTAGTTTCATTTTACCTGTTGGGCGGTGCGGGGTCCTGTGTCACATGACTGGGACGGTCTATGCTGCGGCTGCTGATGTGACAAGGCAGCAGAGCGGAGGCTATTGCTAGCTTTTATCGTGGAGGTTTGTTGTCTAATGATTCTAATCTTTTCCTTTAAGTTTTGAGAAGTGATCGTAAAATGGACAACAGTGGCAAAGAAAAAGAGGCAATGGCTTTAATGACCGAGGCGGAAAAGAAAGTGAAGTCTTCACAATCGTTTTTTGGATCCCTGTTTGGGTAAGTGTTTACGATAGCTTTGTAAAATGTAGCAGCTTCTTGGTAGCTTCTGTAAAGCTAAAGGCCAACTAGGTTACTCGGTTCAATCGTAAGTAGTGCACACATTAACCAACTTAAATATCAAATAGGCTGGTTTTAGCTTTTAAGTGGACACAATGTTTGAACAATGTGTTCTTTTCGCTGTTGATAAAAAGAACCCTTCTGAGCTGCACTGTAGACAGTAGTTCTGATCCATTAGTGACTCGGACATTGTAGGTGGGATCCTCTCCATAATTTGGATCAAATGAATCCGTACAAAATGTTCTTTTCTGGTCGTGACATCCCGTCATAGCGAAATTATATTGGTCATTTCAGTACAACGTGTTAATTATCCTGATGATAATGAGTAAATTATCCTTACTTTATCAAGGTTATTGTGTGATTTAGTGTGCTGTTCTGTACTAATTGTTGTGTTGTACATATGTTGTACCATTATAGACAGTCGTAGTTTATAATGTAGTAATGTGGTTGCAATGTATTATTTCTGAGAGGTTTAACGTGGTCTTGTATTTTCTTTTACACAGGGGCTCCTCCAAGTTGGAAGAGGCATGTGACATTTATGTGAGGGCTGCAAACATGTATAAAATGGCAAAAAACTGGTGTGGTAAGATGTTTTGCAAATCTTAAGCTTAATGTCATAAAGGATTGTTTGAGACAAATTTAAGATCTCTTGTTTATCGTCTTTCCAGCTGCAGGAAATGCTTTCTCTCAAGCTGCTCGCCTCCACCTGCAGATGCAAAGCAAACATGATGCTGCTACAAATTACATTGATGCTGGAAATGCATTCAAAAAAGCAGATCCACAAGGTGCATTTTCTGCTCCTGTTTACACCTTAGTATCACTGACTGGATATTTTTTTTTTTTTTTCTGTGGTTATTTATTTGTTAATTATCATTTGTGTCCACAGAGGCAATAAACTGTTTAAATAGAGCAATAGAAATCTATACAGATATGGTGAGTTTCTGCATCTCTTATCATTTTAATGTGGTTCATCAACTAAATATGTGTTTTCATGTACAGGGACGTTTTACAATTGCTGCAAAACATCACATCACAATTGCTGAAATATATGAGACAGAGTTGGTCGACATTGATAAGGTTATATCATGGCATCAACAATATACATTGTGTTTTATCTGGTAGACCTCTGGCTGTGGTCTGAAATGTTGGTTTTACATTCTAGGCAGTTGCACATTATGAACAAGCAGCAGATTATTACAAAGGTGAAGAATCCACAAGGTGATTATATATTTTGTATAGCATATTCATCCACTACTTCAATATTTTATTTACACATTTGATACAGTTTCGGTTTATTTTTCTTTTTAGTTCAGCCAACAAGTGCCTTCTGAAAGTTGCAACCTATGCAGCCCAGTTGGAACAGTATCCAAAAGCTATTGAGATATATGAACAGGTGAGTTCTTGTTTAATGTATGCCTCCAGATTATATTGTACTCATCTCAAAGCATTTTCTTCTACTTGAAGATTGGAACATACGCAATGGACAGCACGCTCCTGAAATACAGTGCCAAGGATCACTTCTTTAAGGCAGCACTTTGTCACTTCTGTGTTGACATGCTAAATGCAAAGGTAGGTTGGACCCGTACTGTTCAGACATGGGGACAGAATACTGCAAAAAGTTTGTTATTTCTGTTATTTCACAAAGCTTGCTGTGCAGAAGTATGAGGAAATGTTTCCAGCCTTTTCGGACTCTCGGGAATGCAAACTGTTGAAGGTATTTTATTGTAGATACTTATTTTGAGTGTTTGGTCAAATTAAAATGGTAACCTCTGTCTTTTCCAATTGATCCAGAAACTCTTAGATGCATATGAAGAGCAGAACGTGGATGCCTACACTGATTCGGTAAATATGTTAAACTTGATTAAACTTGGTTCATTATCACACTGGTCCTTTCTGGTTAGTCTCACCCAGCTGAGCAATTAATATATGTGTATGTATGCTTGGAGCCAGTGTGAATCTAGCAGCTGCACTCTAATGACCAACCTCGGGAATGCCCATTTCATCACACCATTCACAAATTAGATCAGTAATAGTAATTTGGCACTTTAAATTTGGTGTGTTTGATTAAATCACCTTTACCTCTGACTGACTGATCTCTTCCTGCTTATGCACTGTGAGCTGCCTTCTGTCATTTAAAACAATTTATTTATTGAGCTTTATGCAACCAGGATAGTCCCGAAGAGCCTAATATCCCTTTTTTAGATATAAATTATGGTGTTATTATTTGTGTTATGGAAATAATTTTGTAGATTACTTCTAATGTAGCCGATTGTTGAGGTGAGTGATGAGTGGTCCAAAGCAACAGTGAAGTAAATGAAACTAAATCTAGAGTTCACAGTGGCTACTCCAGGGCTCAGTAATGTGTAAAAACACCCTAGAGATAATGCACACTTGCTATAAACTTTTCTCACCCCGAAATTCAGGTCATGTTGCAAGAAGATTGTTTTTCTGTTGTACATTTATGTTACAGCTGTACTTGAAATATTATCATATGTATTTTGTTTCAGGTAAAGGAGTTTGACACCATTTCACGGTTGGACCAGTGGCTCACTACAATGCTTCTGCGGATCAAAAAGACCATACAAGATGATGAGAGTGACCTGTGTTGAACCCTGTCCTCCTTTAACATCTGTTTGACTTTAACCTTTGGCCTATGTTTTTTGCAGATAATTCTGATGTCAAATATATAACTTTGTTTTACTATTACTTTTCTCTTAAACATTTTGCCTTTAAGCATGTAAAAATTTGTTTTCTCTTAGTTTGCTCTTTTGGTATAAACACTATTTCCTTTGATTCTTTATATTAAGAATGTTAAGGCTCTAATTTAAGAAATTTGAAATGCAAGTGATCATGCCAGCATAGAGAAAATTAACTATTTTATTAATCCTGTAATTGTAAGGGAGTCACAACACTTATAAATAAATGCATCCAAATTAATACATTGGTAATGTGAGTAAGAAATATAGTTGCCTAAACCAGGGGTTCTCAAACTTTTTGAGGCCACAGGCCCCTTATTGATAATAAAATATCCCAAGCACCCCCTATCAAACCAATAAAATTTGTTTAAATTTGGTTATATACATGGTTTAAACTCCTGACAGATAATCTGTCATAGTCCTCATTTTAAGTGTGTACTCCATCAACAACACTGTACATTTGGGATTGTATAGCATTATAAATTGTAGTCTTCAAGTAATTATCAATGTTGGGGAGCACACATGGCCCTGGGACCCCCAGGGACCTAGACAAGATAAAATCCAGCAAACTAACCAGATAACACCCCTGATTGTAGGCTAGGTCAAATGTAATAGGTTGAAGATGAAAGTTTTTGTCTGGTTATATTTTGTATTCCCATATAGGAAATATTTATAATATACATTTTCAAATCATGAACAATTGTACAGTGCCGCCCCCTGGGGTCACATAGGTGTAGCACCTGTTCAATGATACGCATGATTTATATTATAATTCAACAGTATCATCTGCAAAAGACATACTTTGATTTCCCCGAGTACTCTGCCTTATTTTGCCTGATTCTCAGGATCTGCACAGATTTGATGGAAAGGTGCACAGCTTTATGTAGAGCACTTTAATCCTCGGAATGGTTTGTGCAAGATTTGGAATGATTGGAAAACCTCTTGTACAGGTTACATGTTTTATTGTCTAATTGTTGCTGGTTATTTAGTTTTAAAGCAGGCTAGATTTTTAAAGCTTGTGCAAGATGCAAATGAAATTGAATACCCGCCTCTGAACACTGTGCAAATTTTATCCTGTAATTTTGTCCAAATCGAGGGTTTTCGTCTGGTTGAAGCCTTCTTAAATTTGTGTTTCAGTGATATGATATTTTGAATAAAAATAACTTTGACATGTGATTATCGTGGGCGTAGCTTGTATTCACCTGCCCCTCATTCCCTCACGTGAGTGCACGGTGCGCGCTCAGAGCTGCTGTGTGCCTTGGACTGTACGAGTGCTGTTAGGAGACAAGGAATTTGTTTTTTCTTTTACCCGGGGTCCCATTGTCTGTTTTGTAAGTATTCGGTCACACATTATGACAAATGACAAATTTACAACAATAGTGGGCTTATATCGTTTTTATGTATTTTTAATCTATAGTTGCAGTGACTAATGAAGAACACCTGCTGCTATGATGGCAGGCATCAGGCATTTTAAGATTTGGAAGTTTTATTTATTTATTATTGTTTATGATAGGTTCACCTTTACCTATACTCAATATTCAACAAGAGAGAAGACAAGAGATTAATATCTTTTACACGCGTGGAGGGAGTACCGAGAGAAGAACTCTAGTTACATGAAACTAGCTGTTATTCACCCCAATACTCTCTAAAGCCTTCTCTCGTTTCTCCACGCCTTTTATTGAAAATTAGGACCCCTAGTTACAATGGGAACTACTCCTCTCAGAACGGGAGGGGGAACATGCAAAACATTAAACATTAAAGGAGTAGTTCCTCTTTTGCTTACAGGAAAAACAAAAATAACACTTCAATACAGTATTCAGGCCAGAGTTAAGGTCAGTCTGCCCTCCTCATTTCATCCTCCTTAGTTTTATCCTCCTCAAGCAATGGTCGCCCAAGATGTTTCCTGTTATTGCATTTGATAGGACTTCGTGACCTTCTGCAAACTCATGAAATCTGCAATACTCAGAAACAGAATCGTTTAAGTGCACATATTGATATATATTGATTACAATATGATTGAATAACAAAAGTGAAGATTACATTACCATTACACACACAGTGAGATTAATATAAATGTTGAATCCATCAGTTTATTTATTATTTTTTTCAAACTTATCTGATTCTCACTTCTTGATGGAAAACCTTAACTATTTCGGTATCAATTGTTGGCACTTTTTGTTTACTTTAAACTGTCTACTTGAGTAGGAGTCCTGAGAGATTGCGTTGTTTTTCGACCCAACCCGGGGTTAGTTTTAATCATACTCTGGAGACCGCACCTTAAATACCCAGTCCCTTAGCAGTCTTACATAGCTAATAACATAGTGATTGTTGGAGCACATTGTTATTCACATATACAGTTAATTTTATTTATTATTTGATTTGAACTAACCTGACTGGTTGTCAGATTGACATATGGTCAAATGAGTCATTGTGTGATTAGGTGATTATGTTTTGTTTTCTTTACTTTACAGCATTGGACTGCGTGCAATCAAACATCTCAGCAACTGATTTTCAGGACTGTCTCCATGAATATGAACTTCCCTTAGCACAAAGGCCAAAAAGTACTGGATTACATTACTTTTTTCTGAACCAATGAGGCCATTTCAAAGCTTAATTGTTATGTTTTTACTGACTACATTGTTCCTCATCTTCCTTACCACCTTACATCTAGAGAAGACTCACAGTCATAGACTCGAACAGAAAGATCTGAGGAAGCCTCGTATTATTCAAGCAGCAGAAAAACATACATTTAATGCAACTATTTCGCCACTGACCAAACAAGTGAGTTTTCTCTCCCCAAAGCCTGATGTGGTCGGTGTGTCTGTGTCAAGTGGTCTGACACAAGCCATCCCTCAAAACAAAGCTTACTGGAATCGACTGCTTTACTCTGCTCTCGGCCAGCTGGATAAAAAAGAGCTGGAGCATCATCGTCTGTGGTCTCACTGTAGGGAAGTCAACCAGGAGCTCCTGAAAACCAATATTCATGACTTTACGTCATACCCCTCTATGATTCAGGACTTTTTAATGGCCATGAACTGTAAGTCTCCTCCACTCCTCGTAAACCAGCCATACAAATGTGTGAGAAGTGAAGGAGGTGGGCAAACCTTCCTTCTTTTTGCAATCAAATCAAGACCTGGAAACTTTGAACAGAGGCAGGCAGTGCGTGAGACCTGGGGAAGAGAGGAAGTTTTTCAGAGTGGTTTGAGAGTGCGCACCCTGTTCCTACTGGGTAGCCCATCGTCTGATGACCCTGATCTTGGTGCTTTGTTGTCATTTGAATCTAAAACCTTCAAGGACATTCTTCAATGGGACTTTAATGAGTCTCTACTGAACCTCACACTCAAAATGGACGCATTTCTCCACTGGACATTGAAAAATTGTCCACATGTTTCCTTTGTATTTAGTGGAGATGATGATGTTTTTGTGAACACACCAGCATTACTAAGTTACCTGCAGTCTCTAGAGCCTTCAAAGGCTGCTCAGCTCTATGTTGGTCAGGTTATAAGCACAGCTGGACCACTCAGGGACCCTAAGAGCAAATATTATATTCCTCTGAGTTTCTATGATGGCCCATACCCTCCTTATATTGGGGGTGGTGGCTTTGTGATCTCTGCATCATTAATGCAACAACTTTATTCAATTTCACGTGTTATTCCATTCTTCCCAATTGATGATGTTTACATTGCGATTTGTTTAAAAGGCTTGGGGATTTCTCCTGAGTCACATTCAGGTTTTCAAACATTTGATATAAGTGAGCAGGACCGTCAGAACTTGTGTGTTCATAAAGGTCTCATACTGATACACCGGCGCTCCCCCAGGGAGCTGAAGAAACTGTGGAGAGGAATTCATAGCCCACTTCTGACATGTTAAATACCTTATTTCAAAAGTGATTTGTGAATTTGTCAATTCCATAAATGTTTTAAGTCTGCTTTTTGCTTTTCCTCTTCAGACAGGACTTGAGTCACAAAAATACAGTACCAGGCAATTAACGTGTTATGTTTATTTTTTTTTTCCACAAACACATCAAACATGTAACAGAAACAAAAACTTTGTACAATATTGTAACAGTATACACACTCCCATATAACAGGTACAACATATACTGTGTAAAAGGACTAAAGGACAGAACATAAGAAGCCACAAAATTTCTGCACAAAACAGTTAATTGGACAACCTGACCAGTTTATGATCAAAAATACTATATTTAAACTTGTGTTGTGCACTTGGCAAACAACATTTATGTCATGTGTCTGCGTTTTTCTATTTACGGTAACTAAAAGTAAGGCACCAAAATACGTTGCCTTTGTTGTGCGTAAAGGAAGATTAAATCCATTATCAAAACTACAAATCTGTTTACAGTATTAAGCAATTTTGTGCAATTCATCACCCAGTCATTCAACTAAAGGATATTACACTGTTACTTAAAATGATCTGTTATTTTTCATACAGATCAAGAGGGTAGTGCTCCTTGTACTGCTGAACATGCCTCCATAGGGACTCCCTTTGCTTGTCCAGCTGTGGGGTCATCTCGTTGTACACATCCGTGAAAAGCAGTTCAGGGTTGGGCTTCAGACGCTTCTCTGCCCTCTCAAAGGCCTCCATCACAGTCTTACGGGACTGCTTCCTCCAGCTCCTCTCATCATCTTCACTCCACCACCCCCGAGCAGTCATGTAGTGTCTGAGGCGAGAGATGGGGTGGTCCTGCTTGTCCCAATAGTTCACCTCATCCACAGAACGATATGCTGAGCTGTCATCACTTGTACTGTGGTGACCGATTCTAAAAGGTAAAAATCAAACGGTTCTTTCATATCATGTTCAGAAAATGTTTGAATTTGTGACTTTAAAGTAATTACAGAGGGGAGTTGTGCTTTTTTATTCAAATTATACAACAGAATTATTTTAAGTTCTATTGATGATATTTGCACAATTTAAAGATGCTGAAACGTAACTAACCTGTACGTCATTGCCTCAATTAGAAAAGGTTGGTTTTCTGCTACAGCCCTCCGGCGTGCTTCCTTGGTGGCGTTGTATACAGCAAAGACATCATTTCCATCCACTCGAATTGACAACATGCCATAACCAGGTCCTCGAGCAGCTGATGACAAATAAAGAATAATCAGTAAAAACATTGGCAAATATATTTCAATTAATTAAATAAACATATTACCAATGCCATCACCCCTGTACTGCTCATTAGTAGGGGTGGAAATTGCATAGCCATTGTTGCGGCAAAAGAATATCAAAGGGCATTCAAGAGTGGCAGAGAAGTTAAAACCAGCGTGTGCATCTCCTTCACTAGCTGCCCCCTCTCCAAAGTAACAGATCACAGCACGATTAATGTTTTCTCTCTTAACAGCATAAGCTGCTCCTGCCGCTATAAAGAGGAAAGACTATTAGAAAAATTAAGATGGAGACGGCACCAACTTGAGGCCAGTACTCACCCTGAGGAATCTGTGTAGCCAGGGGTGAAGATATGGTAACAAAGTTTAGGTCTTTGCAGCCATAGTGAACGGGCATCTGACGGCCCTTACCCAGGTCATCCGCATTAGCATAACACTGAGCCATGAAGAGGTCCAAAGGAAAACCACGGTACATCAGCACTCCTGTACGAGCAAAACATGTTAGTTAGCTGTGGTGTTAATGTTTTAGTAAAATACAATGATTGTTTATCTAAAGACATCAGTAACATTACAAATGCCAGCCTTACCTGCTTCACGGTACTGGCCAAACACTATGTCATTTGGATCAAGAGCAGCAGCACTTCCGATGTGTGTACCCTCTTCACCGTAGTTGGTCATGTAAAAAGAGATGCGACCCTAAACAGATGTTATATTTAGACATTTTCGTTTTTTGTTTTTTTTATAAAGACACAAAAACAGAGTTACCTGTCTCTGAGATTCATAAAGAATCCGATCCATTGTGTTCAGCATCGTCATTTTCTGGTAAAAATTTAAAACTGTCTCCTTTGAAAGCTAAAAGTAAAAATCAAAATCCCAGGGAAGAGGTTCATTTGAGCATAACATAAAAAAAAAACAAGCTATAAATGTACCTGAGGATCTTGGGAGGGGTTGATAATGTTGCCCTGGCGGTCCATCACTCTGTACACGGGAATCCCAGAGATGACATTGGGCTGGATGAACTCAAGATGATCCACAAACTCAGCAGAGGCTCCAGGAAACTGTGGTTTCTCCAGTGTTGAATCAGCAGACTTTTGTTTAAGCAGATAGAGAGAAAAATTATTGCTTAATGGGGGCTACTCAAATCTAAGTGTAATAGCCACACAAATTTTTTCCCATAGGGCTATAGGCCTTTGGTTGATTGGTTGCTTACTGAAATTGATCAACGTCTTTTATTGGTTGACTAATAATGACAATGTCATGTACGTGCACTATTAAACTAGAAAAAAACGTTGGCTCCCCAGTCCACTGGACACTTTCAATTTTATTTTAACAAGTTCCCAGTTGATATCCACGCAGCTGTAAAATTTTATAGAGAGAAGAAATAATTGTAAGCTATATATCTCAGTAAAGCTCTGTTTTAGTTTAAAATAAATTCATCTGTAACCAATGGCTAATTCACTCCCCATTATGATCCCGAACTATTGAAGGAAATAGAACAACAAGGAAATGGGCGGCTAAGGTAGTTCACGCCCCTTTGATCAACCAATAGCAATCCAGCAAACATAAATATAACAAATTATCTCAAAATTGAATGACTACAGCTAGTTGAAAGTACATTTCCTCGCAACAGCGGTTACAATATCAACTTGACTAAAGTAGGCCTTTTTGTGCAAGGTTGTTGCCCTGTGTAAATCAAAATATCGCGACGCTTCAAAACGTTTTTCAGGTGTTTAAGTCCTCGCGATATTTGTGCACAGTGTTAGCAAGGACACACTTGAACAAACATAACACCATTTGAAAAGTTGCACATTTGATGAAATTCAGCCCAAATGTTATTGTTATCACAGTATGACCACGTCTGTTTTACAGTCAGACTTTTAAAACCAACATCAAGTGGTGTCAAGGTATGGCACCAAAGATCTTCTTGGAGGATTTGGTGTAATAAATCAAGACATTCAGCAGTACCCGAAACACATTTTACTTACAGATAACCTGAAGGCTCTACGTTGAAGCAGCCTGAATGATTTTGGTCGTGGAGTTTGACGAGCAGCGCGAATACACAGCCCATACATCTTGTTCATGTTTGCCACCGGTAAGAACCGCACAATTCACTGTTACAACACACACGAGATGGCTAAATTTTCAATGCACACGATGTCTAAATAAGAAATGCTGTCTGTTATCTACAATGCTAACCAGTAACAACCACGACTGAAATGATCCAGGGCTGTGCGCGGCTGACCAAACGGTACGATATCCGGTCGGGATCGCATTTCAGAATAATGCATAGAGGTAACGTCACGTAAAACAATACAAATACCGATTCATAATACACTATACCGATCATAATACATTATTCCAAACCCAATATACCCATGTACTGGACTCTCAAACGGCTCCTAAACATAAAAGAAATGCTGTAATCATAATCAAAATATGTTACGTCACATTCCTGCGACAAACAGACCACCGGCGCACGATCCCGATGGAGGTGTGCAAATCAACAGATATTTCTTTAAGAGAATTTGGCTGCGAACAAAACCTTCTCTCAAGGCCAGATGGCTCCGCTTCATTCATTCAAGGTATGTACGTTATAAACCTGTCGTTTGTGAGGTGTAAATGGCATCCAAATAGTCAAGACAGTCACTAACCCAAACAGTATTTTGTTAGGTCAATGTGGTCAGGATTCTATCAAATTTGACTTTAAAGAGTATTAATTTGATGATAAATTTTAATTTGCTTTCATGCTGTACTATATATCCAATGAAGCCTAAACTTTCATGCTTTATTTTTTTTGTTTTATTATCAAAAATTATGTATTTGCTTCAGATACAATATGACCACCAGAGGTCGGTATTATATATTGTAGTTGTAGTAGTAGTATAAAGTTGCAATAAAATTATTTAAAAATATAATATATATTTATAACCAACTTTTTTGTAAAGGAGACACAAGTGTGCTTGCTGGAATGTATGGTCCAGCAGAGGTCAAAGTCAGCAAGGAAATCTATGACCGTGCAACACTGGAAGTTCTCATTCAACCCAAAGTCGGCCTGCCAAGTAGGTTTGGATCAGACAGAAACTTAAAAAAGATGCCCCTTTGTATTATTATGTCACTACTATTCATTATGTGTTTCTAGGTGTGCGAGAGCGATCACAAGAGCAGTGTGTGCGAGAAACATGTGAGGCATCTTTACTGTCTTTCCTTCATCCTAGGTCATCACTGACTCTTATTCTTCAAGTGGTACATGATGATGGTTCAGTATCCTTTAATTATTTTATTAAAATGTAATGTGAAACAGTGCTGATAAAAGAACTTTGTTGTAAATGCTTCCTTAAGTTGTTTGTAGCTCCTTTCTTGTTTGCTGAATGCTGCCTGTATGGCTCTAATGGATGCAGGTCTGCCTATGAGCTGTCTCTTCTGTGGAGTGACTTGTGCCATAAACTCAGATGGTCAAATAATTACAGATCCTAGTGCAGCTCAAGAAAAGGTGCGTTTTGCATGTTTATCACACTTAAAAATCTTCTCATTCCTGTCAAAAAAGGTAAGCGAGTTGTCTCCCTACACATGCCTGCTATGACTGACGTTTTAATGTTCTTGATCGAAGTTCAAAAACTAATCTTAATGAAAAATGCTTTGGGTTATTTTTTAAAGGAATGTAGAGCAATACTAACCTTCGCCATTGATAGCACAGACTATAAAGTATTGATGTCTTCAACTCAAGGATCATTTTCAGTCCATGAGGTAAGTACATTTGGCCAGTAACAATTCACTAGTATTTTGTTATTGTTTTACCTGTATTTTAAAGTGTTTCTAATATTTCTTAGAGTCAGCTTCATTACAGATAGTTCTGGTAACTTACCTTGTGTTTAAAATATTGTGTGTTTTTCTTTTCTGCAGCTACAACAGTGTATAGCAGTCTGCCAGAAAGCTTCAGAGAAGATCTTTCAGTTCTACAGAGACTCTGTTCAACGCAGATACTCTAAAACCCCATGAAAAGAATCAGCCTTGTGGATAAAAGCCCTTTTTACACATTTTTCCCATGTTGTAATAAAATATTCATAACCACTTTTCTACCTACCTTCAATGTGTTTCTGTGTTATTGGAAGGTGTGAACCTTTGTGACTGAGAAGATTGAATAATACTTAAATATATTAACCACAGTAAGTACAGTTCTTGGGGTTTATTTATTTATTTTACAGATCAATTTACAAGTATGGACTCTAAAGGTAAATAATATAATTTATAGCATGTGTAATACATAGCCTTTAGCAGCAACTGGCACGTATACCTGTTAAATTCACTGCACCCAATAAGTGACTATACAAAATAAACCATGTCTGACCATGAGCTGTCAAGCAATGTCAACTGTCTAAGCAAAGACAATTTACATCAATTGCCTTTGTATCAAACTATGATGCTAAGATTGTGACAGAAGCAACAAATAGCCCATTGAAGAAGCGTGAAGGATTGTCTTAGTTAATGTAATAGTAATATTGTTTAGAGGTTACCATATGTTCACCCGTGGTACTCAACTGTAATTTGATATTATGAACAAATTCTGATCCAGAAATTCAGTTCTGTAGCAGACCTAAAAAAAACTATATACAATATATAAATAGAAAATATTTACCTTTTCCTTTGAATCACTTTTAAAATACTTGGGGATTCATTTGTTCACAGTTTCATTGATGGCACACTTTGCTCAAACCAATATGGATGAGTTTTTCTTTTTTTTTCTCTTTTCGTGTTTTTTATTTTTTCATTATTGAACATCACATAACATGATACAAATGTCAAGCCTAAAATAGGCTCGATTGGCAAAAGTCTCCATGCAAGTTGCATTCTGACCAAAATAGATATTTTCACTTACATGTAAACTCTTGCTTTTCTTTCAGCATTGTATTTCTGAGTTCACAGTATTATATTTCAGGTTCCAACAAAATGCCATCTCTGTACTGTAGCTAGTCTTGGACAAAAGTTGCAGAGATGGTACCTTCTATTATTAGAATAGCTCATGACAGCTTCCTCCATATCTTTTTTGGACTTGAAGTCTTAACTTTGCTGTTTATTCACTTCTAGGTATTCCCTACAAAACATCTCTATTTACATGTTTCTGGATGTGTTTATTTTTAAAGCAGAAAATGCCCCATAGTTGTGTATGCATATGTACTGGCATAATATGTCTCGACACATCTTACTGAGTGCCATACACCACAGATCAAAACTGATTTTGGCTTAATAGCAGAAGACTTATCAAAATAATGCAGTTTCTGTCATTATAAAGAGTTGGAGATGAAAAGATAACCCCTTGAAGTTTTGGAGTAATCCTTGGAGCCAGTCGAACCATTATAAATAATCAGGCTCAAATTAATAGAAAAGCAAAGGCAACATCACATGTATGGCTCTTTTTTCTTTCTTACAAAACATTTTTTCATAAAATTGCTGTATTTATTTCTTTTTTATATCTTTCTGACAACACTGAGGCGGTGTCTTTTACTTTTGGATAGATTGCATGTGTGTGTACTATGAAAAAACATAATATGTAAACATAGATGACACAATTGTTCTCAGTGCTTCCATTTTTAGATTTGCTCTCAACATGATTTTTAGCATTTCCAACTGTATAGAGAAATCACAATGGTATAGGGAAAGACAGGAACTATCTTACATCTACAGCCTGTATGAATGTTGATTTATGAGAGTTTTGTATTGGCTTGGGGTTGTGTCTTTTTAAGTTCACATGATACATTTTTAAGGTGGTTTTCCAGACAGGTAGGAGATGAGGGCAGCGATGGCACAAGTGTACGTGATGATTCCAAACACGATGGACAAGACCGAAAGCCACAGGGCCTGACGGGAAGCTGCAGTGGCCCCCCTGGAAGTCCCCCTGAGCCGATGCCTTGTTGGTCTAAAATAGGTAAGAAAAGAAGAAAAACACATTTGTTAGTCTATGTAAAAATGCGCAATATCATGATAGGGCTGGGTCATATCATATTGCTGGTGATATACTGTGATATATATGGTGATGATAGGAAATTTGGAATATCATGATTTAATTGTGTGTCTACTGCAGCTGATTTTTCTCTGTTGTGAAGGGTGCAGGTATAGACATTGTGGTTAATTGCTATTGCTAAAACCTAGAACAACTTACACACTCACTCTGAAGGCTCTGTGGAGGTATAAATTCTTAATAATAAAGAATGTATAGCTATAACTTCAATAGTCCAAAACAAGTAAGTAGAAATATTATAAAAGCTGCCATTAAACATACATTGTGTAACTTTTCTGGTGGATAGTCTGTCAAATGCTTTTCTCCATAGAGATATTATTGCTTTGTCTGGAATATTTCACTGTATGGTATTAAACCTTTCTCTCATCATGTAGACCAAACCAGACCAACTTACAGGTTAGATCTGTGGAGAGGCAAGAGGTTTTTCTAAGTGTTTTTGAGCTATAAAACCACCAGTAATGTAATAAATGTAGGGCAGAACTGTTAAATGTCATACTGTGGAACATTTGAGGCAGGGCTATGACATATCCATAGAGACAAGGAGATGACAGACCCCAATCAAAAAGTTATTTAGTCCACCTTTAA